TGACTGAGGAAATTATTAACAAAATGACACAAAGGAAGAAAGCAAAAAACACTCCAGAATGTTCATTAATAGACAAAGCAATACGAAATATGTGTAGAACTGCTAAGGAAACATGGATTCAGTTAAAATGCAAAGAAATAGAGGATCTTGAAATAAAACCCAGAACCAAGGAAATACATGCAAATATAAGAACTTACAAACAAGGAAAAACATTTAACAGGAAATGGTTGTATTAGGGGGAAGGATGGAAAAATTATTGTTAAGAAAGATATAATAAAAAGATGTACTGAATACACAGAAGACCTGTTTTGGGACAACAGGTGACAAACCGCCAATCCATAATATTCATGAGGAACCAAACATATTAAAGTCTGAAGTAGAGAAAGCCATTAAACAAATGAAGCAGTGAAAAGCTGCAGGTCCAGACAACATAACTGCAGAAATGTTAAAATCATTATCTACTTTTGGAATTGATACTATCACAGAAATATGCAATGACATTTATAACTATGGGTACATTCCCAGAGACATGAAAACATCTGTTTTTATCACACTACCCAAGAAATCAAAAGCTGTTGATTGTGAAGATTACAGAACTATTAGCCTAATGAGTCACGTAACTAAGTTACTCTTGAAGATAATACAAGCAAGAATTCAAGATAAAATTGAGAAAGAAGTTTCTGAAGAGCAATTTGGATTCCGTAAAAACAGTGGTACTCGAGAGGCCATAATTTGTCTAAAGATGCTGACTGAAAAATATATAGAAGTTCAGAAAAATATTTATGCATGTTTTATAGATTACAAAAAAGCTTTCGACAGAGTGCAACATGAACAACTAATTGCAGCTCTTCAAAACATGGGACTAGATGGAAATGTTATCAGACTTATTAGAAACTTATACTGGGAGCAAGAAGCAACAGTAAGATATTACATCTGCTCACCCCAGATAGAGAAGAAGAGAGGAGTAAGACAAGGATGTGTGCTGTCGCCTAGTCTTTTCAACTTATGTACAGAAACTATTTTTAAAGAAATTGTAGAATTACCAGGACTGAACATCAATGGTAGAATAATAAACAATCTGAGATATGCTGACGACACAGTGTTGCTTGCTGAGAGTGAGCAGAAGTTGCAAGACCTAGTGGAGCAAGTAAACAGGAGTGCAGAATTTGGATTAAATATCAATTTGAAAAAGACAAAAACCATGATATTTAGCAAAGAAAATAATCAGCTAACAATGAATATCACAGTTAACGTGGTGAAATTGAAAAAAAGTTAATTTTATATATCTCGGACAAGTAATAACATGTGACGGCAGAAGTGAAACAGAAGTCAAGAAGAGAATAGGGATGGCCAAAAACATTTTCAACAACATGCAGAAGTTACTGACATCAAGAGAAAATATATTAAAAATGAGAATTGTCAAATGTTATGTATTCTCAACCCTATTGTATGGCACAGAGACATGGACAATGAACAAACAACTGGAAAATCGTATCAATTCTTTGGAGATGTGGAAATACAGAAGATTAGGTCATATTTTATGGAAACAAAAGCTATCAAATACAAGAGGTACTGAGGAAATTGGGAATGAAAAGAGAGCTGCTAGGTGAAATAAAAAGACAAATGAAATATTTTGGCCACATTAAAAGAGATAACAGTATTGTAAAGATCATCCAAGAGGGAAAGGTTCAAGGTAGGCGACCAAGAGGCAGACAGCGTTACATGTGGGAGGATAACATCAAGAGATGGACAAACAGCAGTATGAGTGAGTGTACATCAAGGGCAAGAGACAGGGCTTGTTGGAGATCCATTGCAGCCAACCTTCATTATTGAGACGGCACCTGATTGATTGTATGTATGTGGATATTTGTGTGCATATATATGGATATAGATGTGTTTGTGTGTGGATTGATAATAAATGCCACATTGGGTGTGTTTGTTTGTGTGTGCATATGCATGTCTTGATGTTTGTGTGGATGTTTGTTTGGACATTTGTAGATATGTGTTTGTAGTGTTTTGTGGATCAAAAAAGGAAAGAAAACAAACATAGAAGCCAGTGTCTTCATACTTCCTAGACAGTTGTTTGAACTCATATTTAAGCTGTAGTTGATTCAAGCTACAAAAAATCTAAAATCTAAAAATCAAAAAATTTTTTTTATAGAAAAAAAGGCATTTCATTAACAAATTAGGGCTTTCCTCTTGAGCCTAGAGCGGCACATAGGGCAGAGGTCATTGCTTTCAATGTCTTGTGGTTTATTGCCAGCTGTTTTAGGTCTTGGGTGTTTGTTGGGCCTTCTCTGATGATGGTGATGGTTTTACGTAGTCACTACGTGTAGTTCCAGTGGCGCTTTCTTATAAAATTGGAAACATTGTCTTGCTTGGTCTCTGTCTTTTTTTTGGGGTGTGATTTGGTTTAAAATCTGTCCAGTGGGGAATTAGTATTCTTCTTAGACATCTGTTGTGAAAATTGTCTCATTTTGTATCTAGTGCTACTTTTGCTTTACAACTCTTGCATCCATATGTTAGCACTGGAATCACACGAGTGTGAAAGGGTAGGGTAAGCTAATTTAAAAACATCAGATGGAGTTACAAGAAGCATTTCTTGTGCGGTACTGACTAAAATACATATCTTGAAAAGAAATACCTTGGAAACTAAAATACTTTGCACTAAAACATCACAGAAATATTGGAAACTAGAATATCTTGGAAACCAAAACACCTTAAAATTAAAAAACTATGGAAAGTAAAATGCCGTGGAAACTAAAGACACCATGGAAACTAAGACACCATGGAAACTAAGACACCATGGAAACTAAGACACCATGGACACTAAGACACCATGGACACTAAGACACCATGGACACTAAGACACCATGGACACTAAGACACCATGGACACTAAGACACCATGGACACTAAGACACCATGGACACTAAGACACCATGGACACTAAGACACCATGGACACTAAGACACCATGGACACTAAGACACCATGGACACTAAGACACCATGGACACTAAGACACCATGGACACTATAAGACACCATGGACACTATAAGACACCATGGACACTATAAGACACCATGGACACTAAGACACCATGGACACTATAAGACACCATGGACACTATAAGACACCATGGACACCATAAGACACCATGGACACTATAAGACACCATGGACACTATAAGACACCATGGACACTAAGACACCATGGACACTAAGACACCATGGACACTAAGACACCATGGACACTAAGACACCATGGACACTAAGACACCATGGACACTAAGACACCATGGACACTAAGACACCATGGACACTAAGACACCATGGACACTAAGACACCATGGACACTAAGACACCATGGACACTAAGACACCATGGACACTAAGACACCATGGACACTAAGACACCATGGACACTAAGACACCATGGACACTAAGACACCATGGACACTAAGACACCATGGACACTAAGACACCATGGACACTAAGACACCATGGACACTAAGACACCATGGACACTAAGACACCATGGACACTAAAACAACATGGACACTAAAACAACATGGACACTAAAACAACATGGACACTAAAACAACATGGACACTAAAACACGGTGGAAACTAAAACACGGTGGAAACTAAAACACGGTGGAAACTAAAACACGGTGGAAACTAAAACACGGTGGAAACTAAAACACGGTGGAAACCAAGATACCGTGGAAACCAAGATACCGTGGAAAACATGATACCGTGGAAAACATGATACCGTGGAAACCAAGACACCGTGGAAACTAAAACAACATGGAAACTAAAACACCATGGAAACCAAGATACCTTCCAACATCCTGGAAGCCAAATCACCTTGGGAACTAAAGCACTTGGGAGCTAAGACCCCTTGGGAACTAAGACCCCTTGGGAACTAAGACCCCTTGGGAACTAAGACCCCTTGGGAACTAAGACCCCTTGGGAACTAATACACCTTGGGAACTAAGACCCCTTGGGAACTAAGACCCCTTGGGAACTAAGACCCCTTGGGAACTAAGACCCCTTGGGAACTAAGACCCCTTGGGAACTAAGACCCCTTGGGAACTAAGACCCCTTGGGAACTAAGACCCCTTGGGAACTAAGACCCCTTGGGAACTAAGACCCCTTGGGAACTAAGACCCCTTGGGAACTAAGACACCATGGGAACTAAGACACCATGGAACACCTTGGAAACTAAGACACCATGGAACACCTTGGAAACTAAGACACCATGGAACACCTTGGAAACTAAGACACCATGGAACACCTTGGAAACTAAGACACCATGGAACACCTTGGAAACTAAGACACCATGGAACACCTTGGAAACTAAGACACATGGAACACCTTGGAAACTAAGACACATGGAACACCTTGGAAACTAAGACACCATGGAACACCTTGGAAACTAAGACACCATGGAACACCTTGGAAACTAAGACACCATGGAACACCTTGGAAACTAAGACACCATGGAACACCTTGGAAACTAAGACATCATGGAACACCTTGGAAACTAAGACACCATGGAACACCTTGGAAACTATGACACCATGGAACACCTTGGAAACTATGACACCATGGAACACCTTGGAAACTATGACACCATGGAACACCTTGGAAACTATGACACCATGGAACACCTTGGAAACTATGACACCATGGAACACCTTGGAAACTAAGACACCATGGAACACCTTGGAAACTAAGACACATGGAACACCTTGGAAACTAAGACACATGGAACACCTTGGAAACTAAGACACATGGAACACCTTGGAAACTAAGACACATGGAACACCTTGGAAACTAAGACACATGGAACACCTTGAATACTAAGACACCTTGGAAACTAAGACACCATGGAACACCTTGGAAACTAAGACACCATGGAACACCTTGGAAACTAAGACACCATGGAACACCTTGGAAACTAAGACACCATGGAACACCTTGGAAACTAAGACACCATGGAAACTAAGACACCATGGAACACCTTGGAAACTAAGACACCATGGAACACCTTGGAAACTAAGACACCATGGAACACCTTGGAAACTAAGACACCATGGAACACCTTGGAAACTAAGACACCATGGAACACCTTGGAAACTAAGACACCATGGAACACCTTGGAAACTAAGACACCATGGAACACCTTGGAAACTAAGACACCATGGAACACCTTGGAAACTAAGACACCATGGAACACCTTGGAAACTAAGACACCATGGAACACCTTGGAAACTAAGACACCATGGAACACCTTGGAAACTAAGACACTATGGAACACCTTGGAAACTAAGACACTATGGAACACCTTTTAAACTAAAACACATTAGCAATGACAATAATTTTATGGTTGGGGGTCACCACAACATGAGGAACTTTTATAAAAAGGGTCCTAGCATTAGGAAGATTGAGAACCACTGCTTTAACTTATTCTATTCTAAATAATTATTTCAATTAAAATATGTCTGCATTTAAGGCGTTAAAATAATAACAGGGGTAAAAGACAGGGTCATCATCAAGTGCCTTGGCAGCTGACATAGGTGTTCATGCATCATCACAGATCTGTCTTTGGATTTCTGGAGCAATTCCACTATTATTCCTCGATGCCACCATCTTAAGCCATCCACCATCATTTTTCTTGGTCTACCTATGCCTCTACTACCAATGATCTTTCCAGTCGTCATTTTTTCCTGTTAGGGTAAAAGCATCAGGGGCACAAGGAGCAGTCAATCAGTGCAACTTGCATTCATTGGGCTTCTTGATAGAAATTCATGATCGTGTCATGCGTTCCTTGGGACTCAAAAAGTTAACTTTTTGAGTACCACCCAGGATAATTTTTTTCTTTCTACCTAAAAAAAATTATAGAGTAGAGCAGCTGCTATTATGAGGTCTTTTGTGTGGATATTTGTCTACATATGTTTGTGTGTGGTGAGATTTTGTGTTTGGACGTATATGTGTGTGTAGATGTGTGTGGGAATGCTTGTGTATGTGGATGCTTGCATGTGTGTGTGTGTGTGTGTGTGTGTGCATGTGTGAATGTTTGTGTGTGGATTTTTGTGTGACCATGTGTGAATGTTTAAATGGATGTGTTTGTGTGTGTGTGTGTGTGTATGTTAAATGATTCTAGTTTGTGCCTGGATATTTGTAGATACTTGTAGATTGGTATTTATTTTATGCCTGTTATGTGTGTGTATGGATGTTTGTTTGTGTTGATGGTGTGTGTTGAGGATTCTTGGGTGTGTGTGAAGATTGTTAGGTATGTTTGAGGATTGTTAGGTATGTTTGAGGATTCTTGGGTATGTTTGAGGCTTCTTGGGTATGTTTGTCTTCTTGGGTATGTTTAAGGCTTCTTGGGTGTTTGAGGTTTCTTGTGTGTGTATGAGGCTTCTTGGGTGAGTGATTGAGGATTCTTGGCTGTGTGATTGAGGATTCTTGGCTGTGTGATTGAGGACTCTTGGCTGTGTGATTGAGGATTCTTGGCTGTGTGATTGAGTCTTGGCTGTGTGATTGAGGATTCCTGGCTGTGTGATTGAGGATTCTTGGCTGTGTGATTGAGGATTCTTGGCTGTGTGATTGAGGATTCTTGGCTGTGTGATTGAGGATTCTTGGCTGTGTGATTGAGGATTCTTGGCTGTGTGATTGAGGATTCTTGGCTGTGTGATTGAGGCTTCTTGGCTGTGTGATTAAGGCTTCTTGGCTGTGTGAGAAATTTTTTGTGTGTTTGAGGATTCTTGGGTTTGTTATTGAGTATTCTTGGGTTTGTTATTGAAGATTCTTCTGTGTGTGAATGAGGATTTTTGGGTGTGTGAATGAGGATTCTTGGGTGTGTGAGGATTCTTGGGTATGTTTGAGGATTCTTGGGTATGTTTGAGGATTCTTGGGTATGTTTGAGAATTCTTGGGGATGTTTAAGAATTCTTGAAAATTCTTGGGTATGTTTGAGAATACTTGGGTATGAGAATTCTTGGGTATGTTTGAGAATACTTGGGTATGAGAATTCTTGGGTATGTTTGAGAATTATTGGGTATGTTTGAGAATTCTTGGGTATGTTTGAAAATTCTTGGGTATGTTTGAGAATTCTTGGGTATGTTTGAGAATTCTTGGGTGTGTTTGAGAATTCTTGGGTCTGTTTGAGAATTCTTGGGTCTGTTTGAGAATTCTTTGGTGTATGTGCACAGCTTTTTGGGTATGTTTGAGGATTCTTGGGTATGTTTAAGGATTGTCAGGTGTGTGTGTGAGTATTGTCAGGTGTGTGTGTGAGGATTGTCAGGTGTGTGTGTGAGGATTGTCAGGTGTGTGTGTGAGGATTCTTGGGTGTGTGTTTATTTAAGGATTCTGGGTGTGTGTTTATTTAAGGATTCTGGGTGTGTGTTTATTTAAGGATTCTGGGTGTGTGTTTGAGGATTCTTGGGTGTGTGTTTGAGGATTCTTGGGTGTGTGTTTGAGGAATCTTGGGTGTGTGTAGATGGCTTTGGTATGTTTGTGATGGTTTTGGTATGTTTGAGGATTCTTGGGTGTGTTTCAGTATTCTGTGTTATGTTTAAGGATTCCTAATTATGCTTTAGGATTCTTGGATGTGTGATTGAGGATTTTTGGGTGTGTTTGAGCATTCTTAAATATATTTTAGGATTCTTGAGTGTTTTCGGATTCTTAGTTATATGTTTAATGATTTTTAGGTGTGTGTGTGAGGATTCTTCTGTGTGTGTGTGTGTGTGTGTGTGTGTGTGTGTGTGTGAATGAGGATTCTTGAGTGTGTATTTGAGGATTCTTGAGTGTGTCTTTGAGGATTCTTGAGTGTGTATTTGAGGATTCTTGAGTGTGTATTTGAGGATTGTGTATCTGAGGATTCTTGGGTGTTCGAAGATTCTTGGGTATGTTTGAGCATTCTTGGGTAAGTTTGATTTTTGGTATGTTTGAGAATTGTTGGCTGTGTGTGCAGATTCTTGGGTGTGTGTGCAGATTCTTGAGTATGAGGATTCTTGGGTGTGTGTTTGAGGATTCTTGGGTGTGTGTGTGTGCGCAGAATTTTTGTTGGGTGTTTGAGGATTCTTGGGTGGGTATGTTTGAGCATTCTTGAGTGTTTTAAGATTCATGGGTATGTTTGAGCATTCTTGAATATGTTTAAGGATTCTTGGGTATATTTTAGGATATTTGGGTATATTTAAGGATTCTTGAGTAAATGTGAAGATTCTAGGGTGTGTAAGTTTGAGGATTCTTAGCTGTGTGTTTGAGGATTCTTGGGTGTGTACAGATTCTTAAGTATGTTTGAGGATTCTAGGTTGCTTAAGGATTCTAGGGTGTGTGTTTGGTTATTCTTGGGTGTGTGTTTGGTTATTCTTGGGTGTGTGTTTGGGTATTCTTGGGTGTGTTTGGGTATTTTTGGGTGTGCATTTGAGGCTTCTTGTGTTTGTGTGAGGATTCCTGGATGTGTTTGAGGATTCTGGGGTATGTTTGAGGATTCTAGTGTGTGTTTGAGGATGCTTGGGTGTGTGATTGAGGATGCTTGGGTGTGTGATTGAGGATTCTTTGCTGTGTGATTGAGGATAATTATGTGTATGTTTGAAGATTCTTGTTTGTGTGTTTGAATCTTGGGTGTGTGTGTGCAGATTTTTGAGTATCAGGATTCTTGGGTGTGTGTTTGAGGATTCTTGGGTGTGTGTGCACATTCTTGAGTATGAGGATTCTTGGGTGTGTGTTTGAAGATTCTTGAGTATGAGGATTCTTGGGTGTGTGTTTGAGGATTCTTGGGTGTGTGTTTGAGGATTCTTGGGTGTGTGTTTGAATATTCTTGGCTGTGTGTTTGTGGATTCTTGGGTGTGTGTTTAAGGATTCTGGGGTGTGTTTGGGGGTTCTTGGGTGTGTGTTTGAGGATTCTGGGGTGTGTTTGAGGATTCTTGGGTGTGTGTTTGAGGATTCTTGGGTGTGTGTTTGAGGATTCTTGGGTGAGTGCAAATTCTTGAGTATAAGGATTCTTGGGTGTACATTTGAGGATTCTTGGGTGTGTGTGCAAATTTTTGAGCATTAGGATTCTTGGGTGTGTGTTTGAGGATTCTTATCAGGATTCTTGGGTGTGTGAGGATTCTTGGGTGTGTGTTTGAGGATTCTTGGCTGTGTGTTTGAGTATTCTTGGGTGTGTTTTTGAGGCTTCTTGGATATGTTTGAGGAGTCTAGGGTATGTTTGAGGAGTCTAGGGTATGTTTGAGGAGTCTAGGGTATGTTTGAGGAGTCTAGGGTATGTTTGAGGAGTCTAGGGTATGTTTGAGGAGTCTAGGGTATGTTTGAGGAGTCTAGGGTATGTTTGAGGAGTCTAGGGTATGTTTGAGGAGTCTAGGGTATGTTTGAGGAGTCTAGGGTATGTTTGAGGAGTCTAGGGTATGTTTGAGGAGTCTAGGGTATGTTTGAGGAGTCTAGGGTATGTTTGAGGAGTCTAGGGTATGTTTGAGGAGTCTAGGGTATGTTTGAGGATGCTTGTGTGTGTGATTGAGGATGCTTGTGTGTGTGATTGAGGATGCTTGTGTGTGTGATTGAGGATGCTTGAGTATGTTTGAGGATTCTTGTGTTTGTTTGAAGTTTCTTGGGTGAGTGTTTAAGGATTCGTGGGTGAGTGTTTAAGGATTCGTGGGTGAGTGTTTAAGGATTCGTGGGTGAGTGTTTAAGGATTCGTGGGTGAGTGTTTAAGGATTCGGGGGTGAGTGTTTAAGGATTCGGGGGTGAGTGTTTAAGGATTCGGGGGTGAGTGTTTAAGGATTCGGGGGTGAGTGTTTAAGGATTCGGGGGTGAGTGTTTAAGGATTGGGGGGTGAGTGTTTAAGGATTGGGGGGTGAGTGTTTAAGGATTCGGGGGTGAGTGTTTAAGGATTCGGGGGTGAGTGTTTAAGGATTCGGGGGTGAGTGTTTAAGGATTCGGGGGTGAGTGTTTAAGGATTCGGGGGTGTGTTTGAGGGTTCTTGGGTTTGTGTAAGGAATATTGGATATGTGTGAGGATTCTAGTGTATGTGTGAGGATTCTAGTGTATGTGTGAGGATTCTAGTGTATGTGTGAGGATTCTAGTGTATGTGTGAGGATTCTAGTGTATGTTTGAGGATTCTAGTGTGTGTTTGAGGATTCTAGTGTGTGTTTGAGGATATTTGTGTGTGTTTGAGGATATTTGTGTGTGTGATTGAGGATATTTGTGTGTGTGATTGAGGATTCTTGGGTGTGTGAGCATACTTGGTTGTGTTTGAGGATTCTTGTGTGTGTGCAGATTCTTGGGTGTGTGTGCAGATTATTAGATATGTTTGAGGATTATAATGTGTTTGGGGCTTCCTAGGTGTGTCT